GCTGAAGAATAGGCTCCCGAAAGTCGTGGGATGAACAAATGTTCAAGAGCCGATCTGAATATTTACCGTGACCGGCTCCCGAACGAATGCAGTGCTCGAAAATGATATAATAATGCCACTTGGCAGCTGATGATTGCAGATGGGATGTGTCAGCCTATTTTACCGTCCTATAGGATCTAGCTTGACCGAAAAGTCTGCCAGCATTAAATGCCCCCCATGTGTGCATTAAATGCCTGACAGGTTATAATTGAAGAAACCTCAAATCGCATTTAATAACCGTCAGAGCGGCGCCGACCTACCCTGCGAGAACACTGTACGACAAGACAGATGAACAGTACCTGAACAGTGCCCAATCTAGAATTACTATAATTTAGAAGACCGAACTCATTTATTGTGGGTTGTTTGAAATATGTCAACTACTACTTTTTCTCTCTAGAATCTATAATAAATACTGTGAATATTCTAAGGTGTAAGAAAAGTTACGACCTCGTTATCAGAGGCCGACCTAGTAATTAAGTAATAAAATTCAATTTAATCGCATATCTTTCTCGTTCTTTCTTCATAACCTTTATTAAACTTCATTTTAACTGTTGACCGGATCCGTCATCAACAACACTTTTGACCCCGTAATTCCTAATCGTATGTGTAACGACCATGGGATCATTATAAGGAGTTAGAATATTACCCGTGTCTTCATCTGTAAAGATTATTGGTGTCTTCCTACGGGGCCTTTTCTCTTGCGGCTCACTTGTTCGAGGTTGCCTTGCATATGCTTTGCGTGCAGAATTGCTTTCTCCGTCGGATGGTCCTCCAGCAATGACGGCTATGACCACAACAACTTGAGTGTTCTCCCTCCTCGTACTCCGAGCCTTAGGGTTACCCCTCTTAGGACTGCGATTTCGATCTTTTGAGTGTCTTCACCGAGGTTGATGGCAGCTTCTGTCTTTTCCACAAAAAATTCTCGAGGTATCCTCTGCGTATCAAATCTTCAATCTCGTTTTTCAGGGTTTCACAGCCCTCGGTATTGTGAGCCTAGTCTCGGTGAAAACGACAATACATATCTGGACTTCTTTTGTTTGTCGGGGTTCTCGTCTTGGTCGGCCATCTGACATAGTCCTCATCTTGAATGTACATCAGAAGTTCGTTCTTTGTAGCATGTAGAGAAGTATACCTCTCGAACCTCAGGAGACTGGACCGATCCTTCGATGAGCTAGTGGTGATGGACAACCTATCCCACACTTTTTTTCTCTTTCTATCACTGTCTTCGCTTGAATCCCTTATCTTTTTTCTATCAAAGGTCTCTCGCTCGTCTTCCCCTTCAAATCTGGACATTCCTCAGCGTTAATGCATTTTTCAGCCTTGTTGAAGAGTTTAGCCAGGCATACTGGTGGTTATTTTGCCAAACAGAAAGAAAACCTCGAAGACTTTTGAATTCCGTTCATAAGAGCAACCAAGGCCATAGACTGGTCCAAGCCCTCAATCTCTAGTGCCTCTCTATTTAAACATTAGATAAACTCCCTTAGCGTCTAATTCGACCTCTGGCAGACGCCCATAAGGTAGACTGACGCTTTCTTGTACCGTTTGCTACTAACAAAGTGGTTGAGGAATGCCCATGCAAACTGTTTGAAGGAATAGATAGAGGTCGCTGGTAGTGAAGAGAACCAAACCCTAACACTCTTTTTCAGTATGGCCAAGAATGCTCGACATTTGATGGCGTCGGTCTCCTTATATGAAGTGTCATGAGGGCTTGGAAATTCTCAAGATGGTCACGGAGGTTCAAGGTTCCATCGTAATTCTCCATCTGAGGCATCTTGAAGCTAGAGGGGATTTCCTCTTTCATGATGTTATCAACAAAAGAGGACTCGGTGGGTGAGAAAATATCCAACGTCGGCTTTCTGACTTCTTTCCAAACCACACCGAGCCTTCCATTAATATCCTCAAGCTTTTGCTTAAGGTTTCAATCCTCAGGTGTGAAATTTCCTCTCCCGAGGTCTCTTTTGGATCTGACCTCGGCTTCGTCGTTGAGGGCTTCAGAACCTTCGCCATGGCTGGTTTCTCGGTCCTTTTGACCTAAGGATGCTTCTTTTTCCAACATACCCCTCATCAAGGTCTTCAGTTCAAGGAGTTCTTTCTCCACTCTGTGTAGTCGTTGGGACTCCGTCTCTAAGGTTGCTGGACCTTGAGAACCTTGGCCTTGGCTAGGGTTATCCTAAGAGTCCACGTGGCTTCCATGGGGTTGATCGTGTCGTGAAACGCCTCGCGTCCCTCGACTGGTTTCTCCTCTCTTCTGTATCGCCATGAGTTCTCTTCCTAAGTCGTCGGGTCCAACAGATGGCGCCAATTTATGGTACAAGAAGTACCTGACGTTACTCTGAGGACAAATGGCGGTGATGTATACTCCGACGTGGCTCCTGGATGCGTCTCTTTTACTCCGACGCTTGCAAAACAGAACCCTAGGGTTATCCCCAAGGGAAGATCCTCTAATGCCTAAGTTAGATATAGTTTTAGAATTAGGGTGGCGGGCACCACATGCTCAAGGTCACGTACGCTCTCACGAACATCACACGTGGAATACGTCGTGAACCCTTCCTGAACACGTTCAATCAATTTCTCCCCTCTCGGTTAGAGTGACTAGAAGAGAGAGTGTATGTCTCGTACCTTGACCTAGGTCATCCTTTTATAGGCGTCAAATGACCTAGGTCTTCCCTATGCAGAAGGAGGACTTCCCAGTCCACTAGCTTGGTGGACTATGCTCTACCAATTGGACCACCTCAAGACCTTGGGCCTACAACAAGGTTCCTCAGGACACTGGGCCCAAAGTAAGGCTCCTCAAAACCTTGAGCCTAAATTTGAGGCTGAGCTTCAGCTTTGACCTTGGACACTAACGGTCCTTCAGAATACACTTGTCTTTATTTTCCCGAACCACGTATTGCCTAATAATTAGGCCTCGTTTACTAGAGGTGATATGATAGGATAAGGTTGGCTAACCAACCTTATCATATGTTTGCCAGGCAGTATTGATATTATGATTCAGCTGATGTGGGTATTGTGTGGCAGTGGGTCTCGCGTCATTTAATTGAGCTGTCATGTTATTTTTGTCCCAGCATTTAGACCTGCTTAATTTATCCCAACTTTGACATCTCAATTTTGTCCTCAAATTTGGCTACAAAATGACAATTTACTCCTTCATGTTATGTAAATTACAGATATACCAATATATAATGAATTTTTAAGGCCAAATGTGGAGCTGCTATTCTTCTGCCCTAGCTCTCTCCGCCCTGTACTTCACCATCTTCTTCTTCATTTTTTTTTATTTTTTATTTTTCATTTTTTCGAGTGGCCGATTTATAGATACGAAATTGCAATCCAATTATACGAAATTTGAAACATATTCACAGGAAAATCAGTTGTACTTGGTTCAATAGTCGTTCTCTTTGGCCCCGACTACAAATTTTCTCGATCTCTCATACCTGCTGCACTTCGGCCGGATGGAGGGTACAAAAATCGGCTACTGCAGGGACGGAAAAGCTCGAGACATTGTCGTCTGCGGGGTCGTCAAAGCAAGCTTTATTTCTTCACTAAATCGCAGATGTAAGGGTTCAACTTTAGAGTTCATGAATTTTGGGCGATGTTATTCTCATGTCCGACTTTCAATTCTGAATCTCTGATATGTTCACGGCTCGATTGAAGGGCAAAATAGTAATGTCATTTAACAACACAAATTTTTATCATGTATGGTAAATAGATGATTGGGTTTGGCAAAAAATGTGTCATGTTTAGTAAATAAGGAACAAAATATGACGTGGCAAATTGAAGGGATTAACTTTTTTAATTCCATCATCTCTAGTAAACGAGGCCTAAATGTATACTTTTCCCTTTTTCAATCGATGACAACTCTTACTTTCTAAACCAAATTTTAAATTTTAACTTAAAACTTATCTCACTTTTGTTTATAATATATTACTAGTACAATACCCGTGTATTACACGGGTGTTTGTTAAAAAATTATTCTTAAATTTTAAAATTAATGAGAAAATTATATTAAATTTAGTTTACTTTTTTACAAAAAAAAAAACAAATATTACTATATATTTTAGAATGATATGTGTTACTTATGACTTACATGTGTTATATTATATTAGTTTTTATAACTTATATCATATAACTACTTGAAATATAAATATATTAGTTGATAAATAATTTTATTTTTCTAATTAATATTATAAATTTTATTATTGTTATAAAGATAAATATAAATTATTTTTTTATACATACAATATGGATGTTAAATTGAAGATTATCAAAAGAAGATTAATTTGATATATTACATATGCAAAACTGATAAAAAATACAAAAGTTATTAACTTTTAAAATATATATACAATTCAATAGTTATAATAAGGAATGATATTAAAATACAATTAATACATGTAACATGACCATAAATAATTAACATATTTATGGTAATCCGAACCTAATTATTTTTGGTTTGAAAGTAAATTAAAATTTACCCAAGCCTAATAACAAAACATGTAATTTTGCCACATAGGATTCCGAAGCACCAGAAGCAGCCACGTAGGCTCAGCACATTCTGTATTAATATATAGGGGGATACACACATTATTTTATGAAATTAATATTCATTTTTTTTTTTAAAAAAAAAAAAATATTCGTGTAATAGTAAATAGATGGGCTTATTGAGTTGTTGTGTTGGCCGCGTGGGTGGATAAGATCATAACTACCATTCTTGGTGCAAAACACGTGTATGTAACCACGTAGGATTGACTCAGATATTAAGGCCAAGCTGGTTTATGCATACGTGGCACCAATCATTTTTAATGTTAACCCCTCCCCATTTTCTTCCATTTATTATATATAGGAGCTACTGCATATCACTATAAACCCAAATCATATCATACAAAACATAAATCACATACACACAAAAACACAGAGAGAGAGAGAGAGAGAGATTGGTTGTTATTAATTAGAAAAGAAGCAAAATGGGAAAAGAGATAAATCTTGAAAAGGTTGGGCAAGTTTTGAGAAAATCATCACCAACTTGGAATAATAATAATAATAACAACATGAATGGTTTGGGACGACGGGAACTGCCTCTGCTGTCACTGAACCACGTCTCCTTCATCTGCAAATCTGTCCGAAAATCGGTTGAATTCTACGAACAGGTTTTAGGTTTTGTCCTAATCCAAAGGCCTTCTTCTTTCGACTTCGAAGGCGCTTGGTAATCTCTCTCTCTCTCTCTCTCTCTCTCTCTGTGTGTGTGTGTGTGTGTGTGTCAATTTTGGGCTTAAATTGTTAAACAATCAATTTATACATGATGCAGGCTGTTCAACCATGGGATTGGGATCCACCTGCTGCAGTCGGACAGTGAGAACATGCTGAGTAAAGCGGGGAAGAAGATAAACCCGAAGGACAACCACATCTCGTTCGAGTGCTCGGACATGGGCGAGATAATGTCACGGCTGGAGGAGATGAATGTGGAGTACGTGAAGGCAGTAGTGAGAGAAGGCGGGATAATCGTGGATCAGATATTCTTTCATGACCCAGACGGATACATGATCGAGATCTGCAACTGCCACAATCTCCCCCTTCTCCCCATCTCCTCTTGCCCTCTCCCCCGCCCCAAAAGCAACAACCCTTCGCACGGTAACTATTACCAACTTATTACTTACCCTTTATTTTATTTTTTATTTTTTAATGCAAAAATAGTTATTATTGGCAAAGTGCAATTATAGCTCGTCCACAACATTTTTTCTGTATTGGTTTGAACTTTGAATGATGGTCACGTTGTTATGTTACCAAAATATTGTCGGTGGCAATTGATGGATAAGTGGGACAAATTCCTCTTCAAATTTACAATAAAACGAAAGATAATCAAGTAATATTATTATTATTATTATTGTTATTGAAATTGAAATATGCTTGTTATATTAATTTTTCATCATTCAATTTATTTATTTAATTTTTTTTTTTTCTTTTGGCAGGGAAAAATTTGTGCAGTGGTGAAGCGGAAGCGTTGATGCTAGAGAACTTGGCAATGGACATGTTCAACCTTTCCATCTGACAACACCCTCATAATTTTTTTTTAAATAAATTTGATCGTTGCGGATGGTCAATCGATGTTTTTAGCAATTTATACATATATGTATGTATGTACGTATTTGTTAGTAATCAACGAACATTTATGTAGCTAGCGAGTTTGTTGTTTTCCTTTTATAATTGATCAGATTGATTAATTAGAAGTTTTTGGACTGCAATAATAATGAAATAAAAAACATATTGTATGCAGCAGTATTAAAACTCTTGAGGGAGAGCTTTGCCGCCCTTGTGGTCCTATCCGGCTCGATTCTGGATTAGTCGGTTCTCCTGTGGATCCGGAAACCGGAAGGTTCCTGTACCAAAAAAAAACATATTGTCTGCACAGACAAACGTATATTTACTTATGATAACAGCAAACGTCTCCCAAAACGCAATGACATACAACTTATGAAAACAGTATTAAAAAATACAGAGGTTTTCAACGAACAATATTTATTTGAATCCAACAATACAAAATGTACGTTATGAACTTAATAAAATGCATATAGAGCTCTAAAAAGTTCAAGTGGTGTAACAACACCCATGTGAGCTATTTAGTTATAAACGTGGGAATATGTCTCTACAAGGTTTGGGAGCCATAGAGCAAAATAGACACAATCGGCCAAGTTGGTAGCTCTTGATGCTCAGTAGACACAACTGGCAGTGGGCCCATTGTGCCCCACGTCGCGCTATTACGACTGCTAGTAGGTGGTTGGCCAATGATCGAGACAACGAGCAGGGGCAGATCCACATGTTGGATAGGGAGTGCTATTCAAATTATACCTACACTCCATAGTTGTTACTAATTATTGTATTGCCCGGTCAGATAATCATTTTTAAGTACGTAATATTTTATTAAGTAATTAATTTTATATCCTTCATCTATAATATCAGGTGTTTTTTTTCTTTGCAATATAGGATTTAAATAAATTGGACGTACGAGATATGTAACTTAATATAAAAATTTTGATTGTACCAAAAAAAAAAAAAAAAAATTTGAAATAGCATAGCATGCGAGATATGTAATTTCCCGTCGTGATCTGAAATAATCTCAAACACAATTCTAAAATACAAAAATCCATGAGTTATATCGTTTGTAGAGATTTTTATTGCTTATTTTATATATTTCTATATAATGAAATTGTATGCCTTATGTATGTGTGTGTGTGTTACAAAAAATTATATATCCTCTCTATATGTGTTTAACAAGTAGAGTTATGCCAAAATATCTCATGTTCAAGCTCGTGTTTGATAAATAAATGAGTCAGCGCAGCTTGACTTATTTAATAAACAAGTGAGACACAACTTAGTTAATAAACAAATTCGATTAAGTGTATGAGATTAATTCGTTTCAGTATAAGAACAAATTTAGTTCAAGTTTTTACGGGTCAAATCAAACTATTTTTCTAGACAACTTTAATCGAATAATAATCTATTTTTAAAAAATTTTAGGAACAAAAGTTGACTCAACAATATTATTAATGAATTTATGAATTATAAATATTTAACTAAAATATTAATTAAAAAATTATAATTAAATATAATATAATATAGGATATACAAATATTTGATATATAATGAGGCAGATGATCGAAAAAATTCTATACTTTATATTATGTTTTTTTTTTTTTTTTGACAAATCTACAGTTAAGAACATGTGAAAGAACAAGATAAAGGTTTAAAAAAATATTAAATATAAGAAATAATATGAATAATAACTAAGTTGTTGCACGTACTAATAAATATAAAACAAACTAATAAACAAAAATATAATATAATTAATATAATTAATATAACTAAATATAAACCTTCTACAAATATTAAATAAAAAATCGTAATTTATAATATAATATAGGATATACGAATATTTGATATATGATGAGGCAGATGATCGAAAAAATCTATACTTTATATTATGTCTTTTTTGACAAATCTACAGTTAAGAACATGTGAAAAAACAAGGTTATAAATTTTTAAAAAAATATTAAATATAAGAAATAATATGAATAATAACTAAGTTGTGTACGTACTAATAAATATAAAAGAAACTAATAAACAAAAATAATATAATTATTAACTAAATATAAACCTTTTAAAAATATACTTATCAATGTAATCGAACCGAGTTGTTAAACGCTTGTTAGTTTTTTGTTCTAATTAATTTTATGTGTAAATTTAAAGTGTTAAGCATCCATGGCTGAATGGAGTGATAGACAATAGTTATTTGTACATTTATACATGTAGATTAGAAAAAAAAAATCTTTATTATTCAAATTTTAAAAAAAAATTTTATTTACTATATTAGTTTTCTTAATATAATATATAAGTATCATATTGAACAGATAAAACAAGAAATATTTTAATTATATAATATTTAATATGTAAAAAATGTAACTCAATTGGTAAATTAATAGGTAATCTTGGGATAAAATAATGAGTGATTTCTGAAAAAAAAAAATTATAGAAACTAAAAATTTCACGTGTTTAATATATTTTTAATAGAAAAATTATAAACAAAAATATTCAATAAATACTACATAAAAAATATAAGAAATCTTATATCCTCCCTATATATAATTAAAAAACATAACTTTTCTCAATTCAACATAAGCAAATCAATGAAAATAATATATTTTTAAAAATTTTATGAACAAAAGTTGACTCGACAATATTATTAATGAATTTATGAATTGTAAATATTTAATTAAAATATTAATTAAAAAATTGTAATTAAATATAATATAATATAGGATATACAAATATTTGATATATAATGAAGCAGATGATCGAAAAAATTCTATACTTTATATTATGTCTTATTTGAAAAATCTACAGTTAAGAACATGTGAAAGAACAAGATACAGGCTTAAAAAAATATTAAATATAAGAAATAATATGAATAATAACTAAGTTGTGATACGTACTAATAAATATAAAACAAACTAATAAAAAAAATAATATAATTTATATAACTAAATATAAACCTTCTAAAAATATACTTATCGTTGTAATCGAACTGAGTTGTTAAACGCTTGTTAGTTTTTTTTTTTATTAATTTTATGTGTAAATTTGAGGTGATAGACAATAGTTATTTGTACATTTATATAAGTATCATATTGAACAGATAAAATAATAAATATTTTAATTATATAATATTTAATATGTAAGAAATGTAACTCAATTGGTAAATTAATAGGTAATCTTGGGATAAAATAATGAGTGATTTCTGAAAAGAAAAAAAAAATTATAATATTGAACAGATAAAACAAGAAATATTTTAATTATAATATTTAATATGTAAGAAATGTAACTCAATTGGTAAATTAATAGGTAATCTAGAGATAAAATAATGAGTGATTTCTGAAAAAAAAAATTATAGGAACTAAAAAGTTCATGTGTTTAATATATTTTTAATAGAAAAATTGTAAACACAATTACTCAATAAATACTACATAAAAAATAATGTTTGAGAGGACTACAAAAATTTTGCTATACTGCAATGAAAAATTCAACGGTAAGGTATTCTACTGAAAATTTCAACAAATATGTTGCTTTCATTGGCTATTCCAATAGAGTTCAAATTAAATTATATGAACTTTAGTGGATGTAAAGATTTCAATTACCTGAATTTCTATTGAAATTTATTTTTTGGACCATATTTCAATCGTTGAAAAAATTGTTATTGGTATTATGCAAAAATTCAATAGAAGTTACAATGGAAAGATAATTGCAGTGATAGATCCAAAATAATTTCATATTGGGAGCATTATTTAGTTAATAGAAAAAAAATATACCATCAAAATAACATGTCATTGCAATTTATAAATTATACTTTACATAATCTATCACCTTTCTCATTTGTAATACATTTTAATAAATCTATGCAATCACAATAAGGTAAAATATATTTAAGAAACCAAAAGTCAAGATTTTTCTAAAATCAACATAAGAAAATCGTTATATTTGTTGTAATTTTTGTTGGAATGTTCTCATTTTCTTGTAGTAAAACTAAGACTCTAAATCTATAAAATGTATGTTTCTTTAAAAGTGGGTATGTTAATCTTAAAATTTTTTAGTTAAGATCTACATTCCTCTATTTCTAGTTATATTGGTGTCTACCCCATTGATGCATCGTCCTCGAGGTGGGAATGAATTTTATCTCCAAATAAAAGCTGACTTTCCAAAATTTTGGTTACATGTACTTCTCCCGAGGTGCTAAATTATTTTTTGAAATCAACATACATTACCTGAAAGTACCTCTAAAGTAATTGCACATATGTTCAAGCACAATACACCAATGAGATTATAAATATTTCTATAAAAAGTGACAACTTAATTCTAACATTCAAAGCTGTTTTGATACTCCTACATTTCATTTTCAGTGTTATTTATCTAGAATATAGACTAACAATATAATCTATTTTTTGTAATGATAAAACAAAACAATGAGAAAATATTGAGAAGCATATCATTTGTGAAAATATTTGACAACAGAAGAATTAGAATTCCATTATATGACGATACTTTTAGTCATTTGTAAAGTTTATTATTATGGAGTCATGATTAAAATATACATCATGTATACAAATTTTTAGATTTTTTAATTATTTAAAATTAAAAATAAATAATATATGATCATTATTTATGAGAACCAATTTCTTATAGAGTCCATATATTTAAACGCTAGCAACAAAAAAGTAGTGATTTTAAAAGACTTTTTGTTTGTAAATATTGGTATTCATACTTTTCTAAGACAATTAGCATGTTTTCTTTTTCTCATTGCATTACTATTATATTATTTGTTTCTTATTCTATAGACAAATAATTTATTTGTTAAGTAACTAAAGCACATTTATACGTATTATGTTATTTTTTGTATGTGTTTTATATAATGATGGTATCAAATTATCTTATTTATTAGGCTACAATTAATATAATCACATAAGATTAAATGTAATTTAATATATTTGATAAAATTGTACTTTT